CTCCTAGTTAAAATGCTTAGCTTACAGGCAGGAAAAAAGGTTTAAAGTTGGCTAAGAATTTCAATTTTATGTCTGAATAAATGATGTAAAACCATAAAAGAACTAGCAAAACACCTCTTATTCACAGCCTATATCCCACACTAATATGTGGTTTGCATTTTGTAATCATTATAATTGCGTAGTCCCCAGTAAGTCATGAGAAGTGTGCTTGCGTATTTTTATTCACTACTAGTCACAAAACCCCTCTGAGGGAAACAGTACTAACTTTACACATGAAACAATTGTCGTATGATTTTGGAATACACCTAGAAAAAAATTGAATGAAAAACATTGCTAAAAGGGCCTTTGGCCAAACAGAGCTTAGCCAGGTGCCTCATGCGTCCCCACACTAACGCGTGCATCATGTCGCTGGTGTTCATCGCTGAGAGCGCGAGCAACTGGAGAGTTTGAAAAACACCTTCACTGGGCACCCAGGTCACGGGGGAGATCTGTGTAGAGGAGTCTCCCAGAACTCACCTGTGGGCTTCCACACTCAAACTTTGGCCACACAAAAACCAGGGACTACAGCAGTAGTAAAGTAACTTTGTATAAATACTTCCTCAAGCCCTTGGAATTGCATTTTTCATTCCTACTCTTCACAAATGGTAAGTGCACATTTAATGTGAAAAACAGAAAAAGAAAAAAAAACCAGTATATGTATAGTTATAGAATAAGCTTACTTGCTTTTTGTCACTTTCCTGAAAGATATTAACTTTAAAGCACTAGAAGGATTAATTAAAAGTTAATGTTACTGGGGCCAGCAGATGGTATAGTGATTACATAGCTGAACTCCCTCATAGTTGACCACAGTTCAAATCCTGGACCTGGTGGCTTGAAAATCACACCGAGCGTGTGCGTACGTGCCCAAGATGCTGGAAGGAGAATGGAGGAGAAGGGATTGTGGCGTGGCCATCCCCCTGAGGGGTGATTTCTCAATGTCCCTCTCACTGTTTTCTCTCTCTCTCTCTCTCTCTCTCTCTTTCTCTCTTTCTCTCTCTCTATGGTGAGTGCATGTGCCCTATGGCAAAAATCTCTAAACAAAACAAAAAAACCTAATGTTACTGAAAAGCATGCTAACATTTGAATTAGACTAGAAGTTAACACACCTCATAAATGTTGATGGTAGGTTGTATTTTTTTAGTTGGGGTTTTCTGTGCCAATTTTCTCAAATGCTAAATTTCTCTCTTTAAACAGTGCACTTCTGGGAGCCAGCAGGTGGCCTGCTGATTATGGTGCTGGACTCCCACATGGCCAACTGTGGTTTGAGTCCCAGACCCATGGCTTCAAACTCATGCTGGGTGTGTGCTCATGTGTGCCCAAAATCCCTAGAGGAGAATGAAGGAGATGGGATTGTGATGTAGCCATCCCCCAGGGGGATGATTTATTATTTTCTCTCTCTCTGGAAAGTACATGTGCTCTATAGCAAAAATCATCCAAAAGAAAAAAAAAAAAGAAAGAAAGAACTAGGTGCATGTGCGCACATGCCCCAAACCCTGGGAGAATAGAAGAGAAGGAATTGTTACTTGATCATCTTCCTGGAGGGAGGGAGTGATTTGTCACTTTCTCTCTTACTTTCTGTCTCCCTCTGTCTCCAGTGAGCACACACACACCCCATGGAAAAAACCTTAAACAAAGGAAAAGTGTTCTTCTAGTTGCTTGTATTTCAGGTTGCTTAAAGCCCTTCTGTAAATGCAGTGTCATTACTTTCGATGCCTGTTTCATTCCTAGATGTCTCGTGACAGAGTCAACCAAGATCTCAGTGAAACTATTCCTCGACTTCCAGGAGAAACATTAATTACTGGTAAGCCCCCCACCCCTGCCGACATCAGGATGTGCATAACTTGGTGAGGAGTCCAGCAGGTTCAGGTGGCTCCAGTCCTTCTTGCTCTTTAGAAGTCAGACAGATAGGCCAGTTCTGTTTAGAAGCATTAACACAGAAAGAACTCTCTGCATTTGTTTCTTGATCAAAGAGTTCTTTCAATAGCTTGGAGCTCAGAAGGATAGTGATATTCTTGTCTCTATACAAAAGATGGAGAACAATTTCGGGGAAAATGTGGAATATCTTTTGCAAGTCTCTTATTGGAACTATAAGCTCTTATGGGCTAAGGTTGTAAGAACAAAATGATATTAAGTTTTCTAGTCTATGATGTATACTTTAAAATGATAAACTTGAAAGCTTACATAGTCTCCTATTGGAAACACAGGAGACCATATTAGTTTAAAATATCATTTGTTTTTTTAGAAAACAGATGTTTGTAACACTAGGATAACATTTTGATGTGTTGATTTTTTTTTCTTGAGAAATTCATACGAAGAGGAAGGTATCTACTTTGGAAGGGCCAAGTCATTCTGACTTAAGAATGCAGATGCAACAGACAGCTTCTGAGCCAAGCACTGATGTTGTAGGCATTCTCATTTAGTGTTAGGGCCGACATCCTTCTTTCAGAATCCACAGTGTTTGAAGATGATATATGGTTACCATTGTTTCAGGGAGCTTTTGGATTTATTGACTAAGATCTGGGTTGTTGTAAAGGTCTTCATTAATGTACCTTTGTGAATTGGTTACCCCATGCTCCATGTCTGTATCCCCAGACTTGCACACATAATTCTAGTCTTAAAACGGAAACCAGTGGGATGTGTCCATCCCAAGTCCTGGATAAGAGCAAAGATGTTTTAGTCTTATGGTCTTCATATATGCAGTTTGGGTGCTGCATATTTATGCTGGACATCAGTGCCCAACTAAGGTAGCCATTAATTGAACTGGCATGAAATAGCCTTACTGGGGATTTTTCATTTAGCACCTGAGGAAGAAAGGATTTCAAAATCATTTAAAAAGATTAAAACCCATAACATATTCAAGGGCATCCTTGAAAGATAACAGAAAGATGTAATTCTATTGTAGTCGATTAACTCTTTTGATGTATTTCTCCTTATGTTTGATTCTACCAAAGATGTACTATTTTCTTGACCATTCGTTTTATACCACTGAAATGTTGGAAATGAGTCTAGCTGAACTCTACTCTGGACTATTAAGAGAAAGAATGACTGTAGGCAGATTTCTACTGCTGACATTCATTTATCAATAGCATCACGCTGATTGGGTGGCTGGAGGTTGGCAAACCTTAACACCACATCTGGCAATAAGTCTGTAACATTGTCCTATGTGAGTTGCCATCCTCTTGTGGAGGTAGCCCAAATAGTTACCATTACAACCAACTGAGGGGAGTGGCAGCACTCCCTCATTACTTCTGCTCTCCAGCTGTAGTCACCTTGTCCCAGGTAGTGACATGGGTGTTTCCCCTATTGCTCTGACTCCCCTAGCACAATAATGGAGAGACACAGCCAGTGTCTGTCTACTTTCAAGCTTTTCAGTACAGTTATACTGTAGTTACTCTTAGCTGAATAGTTTATATTAAATTAGTACCATTTGTTGTGTCTCGTGGTGTGTATTTCCATTATTTTAGAGTACTTTTTTGTTATCTTAATAGACAAAGAAGTTATTTACATATGTCCTTTCAATGGCCCCATTAAGGGAAGAGTTTACATCACAAATTATCGTCTTTATTTAAGAAGTTTGGAAACGGTAAGTAGATTATAAGACTATAAACATGACCCTAACTGTTAAAGATAATGCTAAACTGTTTCTCTTGTTACTTGAAAGATTGCCTGTGGATCAGATTAACATGGGGGAGATATTTGCTTCTCAACTCTTAATTTTTTGTTTATGCAAAACTCATTTAGCACTAATATAGATAGAGAATAGAATAAATTTTAAAATAAGTTTTCTTCCTCATAATAGTGGGGAAGGGCTGGTAATTGTAACTATTTACTAGTTTGGAAAATTTATTGGATCATTGGGAAAGCCATGGCACATTTTTGCATAGAAAAACACGTCATGAATTTCCCAGTGACCTACTACTCAGGTGCACAACTGTTTCTTGTTTTTTTTTTTAAAGAAGATTTTGCCTTAAGGCATGTGTGCTTGGCTGAGAGAGAGAGAGAGACTCAGACACATGAGAGGGAAAGTAAGAAATCACCCCCTGGGGGGATGGCCATGCCCCAATTCCTTTTCTTCCATTTTCCTCCCAGCATCTTGGGCACACACACACATGAGCCCAGCGTGATTTTGAAGCCACCAGGTCTAGGACCTGAACTACACTGGTCATGTGGAAGTCCAGTGACATAACTGCTATGTCATCTGCTGGTCCCAGAACTGGTTATCAAAAGCACAGATGAGAACCACTTGTGGCACTTAACAAGTAATACAGTAGTCCAGACACAGTTATATGTCCTAAAATGTCACAGATGTGGATGCTGATGTGAATCCCTGGTTAATGCCCTCTGCTGTAGAACTTTCTAAGTGTTCAATTACAAAGCACCAGGTAGCAGTATAGAGCTGGGGTTACTATGATATGGCATACTGCTGCTGTTATCTTTTAAATCCCCTGCCATGAAATGTTTGTCATAGCATCTCAAGGACAGTTCTATCAATGGAGAAAAGATGACCCCAGAAGAGAAAGAGAGAGTGGATAGCTGCTGTGGCTGCCATAGGACTTATGGTAGATGTGATGGGTTTTCATATTCAGGGCAGCCTAAAGAGGCAGAAGTGTTTTGATAGGGTGGACTAAGGGGAATATGTCTAGGGTTCATGGAAGAGTAGCCCTCTGGCAGCTTTTATACAGAAGATGTGGAGACTATTGAGTAATTCTTGCATTTGTTTCATTGTTTTCATCCCATGATATTTTTTAGTTCAAATCTAGATTGTACCTTTTGTTTTGTTATTATATTCATTATTATGTATGACTTCTGAAAAATGCTAGTCGTTATCCTTGTTGCCTTAGCTGTGGGAGCCCACTTTTAGCTACCCTGTGTAAGTTAGCTGTCTCAACTTCTCATATCTCCTGTAGCACAATGCTCATAGGGATGGGTACATGCATCAAAGCAGAGTCCTAAGACTGGGCATCTGATTTTATGTGAATCTATCCAGACTTCTAAGTAAGACTGGAGAGGAGTGAAGGGTTCTAGTTTTACAGAATGGGAAAGACGATTATGGACACTAACAGCAGTAAGTTAGGTGTCAACCCTTGACAACAATTGACAAAAATTCTACAAGTAATCATTTTAAACAGGTGGTATTCAAATACCTAGAAAAGAAATACACCCTTGGGAACGTATTGACCCATTGTCTTGATAGAATCAAGGCATATAGCAGTCCTGGGAAAGACAAATAGACTGGATAGTACACTTAGGTGGAGTTACAGACCGTTTATTAAAGGCTTAATGCCTGCCAGGAAGGGTGCTCATAACATCTTATTGTGTGGGCCCTTCCTCTCCACTGTTTCTAAGGCAGTACAGATGAGCACATAGCAAGTATGTGTGTCCAAGATGTGAAAAACAGTGCACTAGCTCTTATACTAGATGATACAGTCAAGATTGGAAATGGTTTTAATTGGCTAGGATATTGGAGCAATAATATATAATGATGTCAAATCTAGCATAGATCACTCTGACTCAGTACTAAACTCGATTGTTTCAATAAAGGATTCAGGCAATCAGTTTTAACAGGGATCCAAATTTATTTGAACCAGTGATTGGTTAGGACAGATTAAAAAGATAATACATATACCTATAGGGTGAATTAACAGAAGTATAACAAAATGGCCAGATAAAATGAGATGTTAGCCCATCTGAAATGTCATGTTCAAACCCAGGTATAGTCTTTTTTTGTTTTTGTTAGAGAGACTTTTGCTATAGGGCACATGCCCTCACCAGAGTGACAGAGAGAAACAGAGAGAAAGAAATTGAGAAATCACTCCCTGGGGAGTACCCATGCCACAATCCCTTCTCCTCCACTCTCCTCTTGGGATTTTGGGCATGCATGCATAGTCGCCTGTTGTGTTTCAAGCCTCTGGTTCTGGGAATAGAACCACAGTTAGCCAGTGATATAACCACTAAACCATCTGCTGGTTCTAAAACCAGGTTTTAAGAGAGATGTTGACAAACTAGAGAGTGCAAAGAGTGCAAAGAGGACCAGGCTAGTGAAGGAGCTGCAATGTGAGCAATGATCAAAATAAAGATTGATCTTTTATCTGAAGAAAAAGAGACCAAAGGAAGACACAACTGAGCTATCTTGGAGTATTTCAAGTGCATTTCTGTGGAGTCAGATTTCTACTTATTCTGTACAGTTCCTGAAGGTCAATGTGGAATAAATGCCATAGTCCCTGTCACCTGTGAGATGGCTCATTGACTAGCCACATATGCCTGGTTCCATTTTATGCTGTTACTGATGATGAACTGGGGAAATTATTTAAACTGAGGTGATGGGACAAGATAGTAGATATGAGGGGGTCTTCAAAAGGTTTGTGGAAAATATGGGTTATGAAAAGCTATGCATGGATTTCAAAGTTTTTCATAACTTGAATTCCACTTTTCACAAGCTTATTGAAGTCTCCTTGCATAGTGTGATTTCAAGTGCATAAAATAAATAATAAGTAGAAAACATCATGAGTTTTTGGTGAAATTTGACTCTCTAAGCCTGTAGAATGGGCGTCAAAGACCCTTTTTGCGAAGATGGTGCTGAAAGTGAAGAAGGAAACTCTTGCCCCTCCCAAAGCTGAAGTTAAAGAAAAGGCTTTGAAGGCCAAGAAAGCAGTGCCGAAAGGCATCCACAGCCACAAAGAAAAAGAAGATCCGTACATCATCTACCTTCTGGAGGCTCAAGACTCTTTGGCTGTGGAAGCAGCCCAGACATCCTCGAAAGAGCGCCCCAGGAGAAACAAGCTTGACCACTGTGCCATCAAGTTCCCCTGACCACCGAGTCTGCCATGAAGAAGATAGAAGACAACCACACACTTGTGTTCATTGTGGACGTCAAGGCCAACAAGCACCAGATCACACAGGCTGTGAAGAAGCTCTATGATATTGACGTGGCCACGGTCAACACTCCAGTCAGGCCTGATGGAGAGAAGGCATATGTGCTGCTGGTTCCTGATTATGATGCTTTGGATGTTGCCAACAAAATTGGGATCATCTCAAGCAAGTCCAGCTGGCTAATACTAAATACACAGTTTTCCACCATAAAATAAAATGATCTGTAGAAAAGAGGACAGAGAGAAATTTACCAAATGTGGCAGTATTAGGACTATCTGGAGAGCAGAATTAAGTGTGTTGTGTTTTTTTCCTTACACTCAGTATTTTTCCAAGTATCTGGAATAAGTAAGTAGTATTTTGATGGCTGGGAGCAAGCTTTATTTATTTAATTTTCATATGGCAACTCTAGGGTGGGGCTTAGTACTAGCTGGGTGAATAAAAGACTCTCTTGACACTGACTCTTAACTTATTTATTCTTCCTTTAAGTTTTACATAAACATTTTAAGCAATTGGCCATGACATTTAGTCCAAGTATAACAGCAAGCAGCTAATAGCTGCATACAGTATGTGAAGTAAGGCCATTTAATGATCATACAGGAGCTGAAGAACATAGTCACTGTAGTCTTTCTTCACTTAAAGTCCTAAACAAGTGCATTAATTGTGGATTTGCTACAAAATGTGAACCCTTTTCGTGTGAGTTTGACAAAGAGTTGTTCTCTCCCTGACATGTCGAAGTGGATGCCAGTTGGTTTCAGGTGTATGAATGACGTACTGGGAGGGATGAGCCCATATGCACAGCCTCATTCCACACTCAACCTTCCTGTTTGTGAGGTGTGGATTGCTGCTTCCCATCCTGGGGTAGCCATGGTAGCCTTCTACCTGCCCCTCCTCCTATCCGCAGCTGCCCTGCACATATACCCTGGCCGGATCCTTCTAGCAAGGCTGACCAGCCAGCTTCCCAGTCACTGATTCCCTGTAGTCCATGGAGTCCATTTTCCTCCATGTGGCAGAGAAACCTTCCAACTTCTCCCCAAGCACTCTGTTTTTAAACCATGCCAAGCCCCTTCCTTTTCCTATCATATATAAGCCATTTTCACTGAACTGGATGCCCTTTCTCTGTCCCCTTCAGAAGTTGCTGTTCATCCTTAAAACCCACCTGAAAAGTCACATCCTCTCTGGAGCCCTCTCCAGCTTGTCTTCAAAGAATCACTCTCTCTTTGTGTCCCTGCAGCCCTTTTCTCATGCGTCTGTGTTACTAACACTTATTGCTCGGAAACTTTTCTGGCCACCCTCGCTAAACTTGTAGAATCCCTCTTCTAGATTTACTTTTTCTCCTGAGCACTTGTCACTGTCTCTCATTGTAACTATTGCACTGGCTCACCTGTGTCTCATCTGATGGAGGGTGAGGATGCTCATCTGGCTGTACACAGGTGTCCTCCCAGCTCTGAGAGTGAGGCCTGGAACATGGAAGATCAGTATGTGTGGAATGACTGGATTCTCTCCTACTTATTTGCTGCTGTGTCTGGTCTTATGCCTCACCAGTGCAGAGTCTGGTAGACAGTAAATGCTCAGTAAAAGTATGTTCAGTAAGCGGACTTGGGAGGGAACAGGCTCTTTTCTGTGTTGTTAGTGTTGCTCAGAGGACAAAGGCCATAGTGTGGCGCCCACTACATTGTGCCATCTTGAATACCAACATTACTTCTGAAGTTTCCA